GCCAACATCAGCTTCACTGAAGCATTTGTGTTACTCCATAAAAGACCAGCAGAGGAGCACATCCTCCTTTGTATTGCTCCAACAAGTATGACAACAACAACAGAGTCGAGGGCTGTAACGATCAATCAAAGCAGCTCATCACTTACAGTCAAGCAGCGCAGTGTCTAATTTTATGATCACTTGCTTTTTGAGTTGCTGTTACATTTATGGAAATAGTGACAACTTAAAAGATTAAATTAGTAATACAGCACCTGGATTCTAACGCAGGTCAGGTCAGTTATTAGAGTTAATCATCTTCAGTAATAACTCTTCCTCGGTTGTTTCTCCGAAACAAACGGCTTCAAGTAGAGAGTTTACATCAGCCCCATGAACGAGCTCTCAGACATCATCATTAACATTTCCAGGCAGTTTTATTACTGTGATAAACAAAAAGCAGTAATGAGGATGGACGAGAAGGTGGTGAATATAATGTGAGCTCTACCTGCAACGCCAGAGTATCAGGTAAATCCAAACAGACCTTTGATTATGTAACACTCTGAAACCCACACACATCTGAATGTAAATTTATAAATTCATGCGCATAATAAAAACATATGACTGCACCGATGGCTGCTGTTGAAAGCTCACACACTAAATAATAGAGAGCCAGCGGTGGAGTGGTGCAGACACGGTGTCTGGTGAGGAAACAACATTTTTTTCCTTGACTGCGCTGACATTTCTTGAATAGCAAAACAACTGCAGTACCTGCTTATAAACTGCAGGTGGAGCAGTCAGCATGTATATCCCTAATCTTCCTCTGGGACAGCATGTACTACAACAGGCACCGCAACTTACTCTGCAAGCTGTCACCGCATTGACAGCTCACCCTTTGCTTATTATGGCTTCGACTAATAATGTAACATAAATCACAAGACGCTGTACACGCCCCTCTTCATTAACACTGAAAAACAGGCCGAGTGAAGGAATTGTTCTGGTCACATCAACATGCTTCTTCTCCACTAAAAGAGGCTCTAACACAGCTGTCTTGTTTACTAATGCTTACTGTGATTACCATAGAAGTCTGTCTGGTGAGCGTGTTATTGACTGAGACCACCAAGAGGGGAAAATATCCAAAGTATAAAAATATCCAGTGGTATAAATGATTCAAAACTCGCTGTTTGAATGGAAAAGTAGATAGTGAGCAGGGGGAGGGTGGAGGGTAGAAGAAAGAGGAGAGAGGTGGGGATCACCTGCGAGCCAGTGACAGGAAGAGTGTGACAGATTCTAGTTTAAGGACTATGAGGACGCTTATTAAGGCTGATGTTAAAAGGATGATTCATTCAGATATGTGCAGCTGCATACCAATACCTGCAGTGGTGTAAATATTGCCTCTAGCATGAATCATCAACATTTCAACAGTGAAGTAGAGGGAGTGAGTATGGCTCTGAATAAAATAGCATGTGTTTGGCCAAAACCCAGTAAGAGATATTTCAAGGTCGCTTATCCTCCACCAATGAAAAGAGAAGCAGGAGACAAAATACTGGCACGCAACCAGCAGAGAGACTGCCAAAAAGACTGAGGTGTGATTGGATTTGTG